ATTATAATTTAATTAGTTATTTTTATTATACAAATCGTATAACTAAAATTTAGTATAGTAGTTAGACTATATAGAGGTGGCATTAGCAGATCTCTATAATTATTATATAATAAAAATATAATTTTTTTTTTTAATCTTCAAAAATGAGTAATAAAATATAATTAAAATATAATTAATGTCATGGCTGATGCTGAATTTGGCTGATGTTGAATATCACGTAAAAATTCAGGCCAGAAATTGCAGATCGCATGTCGATCAGGAAAAAATCAAAACAAACTCTAACCAACGACAAAGTTCTTCAAGTTCGTTTGTATTAGGGTTATCGTTTATATTAATGTTAGCCCTACCTACAGGTTAATTATATGTATAAGGTTCTAGTCTAATTAGGGTGGGGGACATAAAGGCATAAGCATTCCTATGCAGGCATATACTCTAGGCATGCCTATGGGCATGAAATTTTTTTATATATCTATATGGGCATTAATATACTATACAATGAATTTTAGCCAATCAGATAATTCTTTTTTTTTTTTTTAAAAAAAAAAAAAACTAATTTGAACATGCCCAAGGGCATGCCTAGGCATGTCTCAAGTATAATTTTATACCTAAGCTGGGTATGAATAAATTTGTTTATACCCCCTACCCCAGTGTTGTACATTTTGACTGTCCCAAGCTTTTTTTGCTGTGTCCCAACGTCCCAATGTCCCAAAGTGTCCCAACTGTCCCTAGATCTTAATAATTACTAAATTAATTTAAAAACTATATAATTATATATTTTTTTAAGTGCTGAGCATGTTTTTAAAAAAATTAAAGTAGATTGTCTTATTAAAATTTTGAGTAAATTTAATTTAAAAAATTGTCCCAAAATGTCCCAAAATGTCCCAACTCATGTCCCAACTGTCCCATGTACAACACTGCCCTACCCTAAGTCTAATACTTCTTCATTAGTATAACTGTAAATTATAGCATTTACTATACACTAGCATATCCAATTAAGTTGGCATACCTTAATAAATATGTAGGTTTATAAAATTCAACAATTGTCACCAGTAGGAATTGAACTCTTAACCTACCACTTGGAGAGTGACAATTCACCCACTGCTCTAAATCACCACACTCAGCAATATTCTTTTATAAATACCAAATTTTTTTATAAATTATATAAAAAAATTTAACTATATAAAAAACAACTTTTGTATTTTATTTTTACAAAAATTAAAACCAAATTTTAAATTTAATTTTAAACTAAGCTAGCTTTAATTTAAATCTAAACCTTATTATAGAAAATCTAATTTTTAATCTTTAATTTAAAACCTAAAGGTTTTAAACTTAAACCAAACTTAAACTAACTTTATTATTTCTAATTTCAATTATTTCAAGTCGATTCAATAAAGTAAGAGCTGTTTGAAGCCGATGAAGTCGCTCTTGCTCTGGTGGAAATTCCTAATTCAAGATTATTTAATAATAATTGCCAAAAATAAAAATAAATATTTAATTAATAATAAGTCAATAAAACGCACCAGTTTAATTGTTTTGAAGCAATAATAACTTAACAAGAACTTAGCAAAATTTAATAAAATTTCCCATGTTTTTATTGTCTAAATTTTTCAAAAATTTTATAAAAAATAATTGGTGTGTTTCTACTAACTCTTCCCAATTTATTATGTGCCTTACCTTTCCTAATTCATTTATATATTTTTCATTTTGTTCAGCTTGAAGTAGATTTTCCACAAGTGCTGCGACTGTGGCACCGATGTTTTCGGTAGGATAGAATAATTTTGCCAATATTTTCATATTTTCTACTCCTTTATGTATATTTCCCTGCAGACTTGAAGTGGCTTTTTGAATCTGACAAAATGCAATAAAATCAGATCAAAATCAGCGAAACAATTTTCAGATTTCAGCTTTTACCTCGAAATGAACATTATCCAACGAATCCGCATAAGAATTGCACGACAATTCGAAATCCAAAACTGCGTCACCTATGTGGTACAATCTTATGTTTATTAAAGCTCAATTAATAGCTTTCGCAAATATTACGGTCTTACTTGGCCAATTGAAATCCGATACAATTTGTTGTAAAGCATGATTAAAAAATTCATTATGAATCTGATATTGTTTCCATTTCGAATCTAAAAATATGAACATTAATTATCATAATATAGCACTCAATATTTATAAATATATAGGCTTTTTATGCGATTTACCCTCATCCAGCGGTGTTTCTGCAGCCTGCAAAACTTCTAATGATAAACTTTGTTGCTCATCCAAAATTTCGCGTTTTTCCCCAATCAGGATGTCTATATCTCTAATTTGTTCCTCTACTGCCGCCAGCGCACTGGAACTTAAAGACTGGTTGTTCCCAAACAATGACATTTAATAATTTATATTCCGTTTATGTCATGAATATCAATTAGATATACCTTTCTTCTCGTAGTTTTTTTTTTTGGCGCCTTAATAGCGGATGGTCTTTTTTCAGTTGCTACCCTTTGCTTTTGGAGTTGAAGCTCCGCTTCCTATACAAAAGATTTGAAGTGATAAAATATTATTAAATGGAATCACATATTCTATAATATTCACTACTCAATTACTAACTTTCCTTCTGATTATATTCTTCTTCTAACTGAGCCACAACTTTCGCCATTCTTTCCACCTTTTTCTTTACTTCTTTCAACCTTTTTGCTTGTTCTTGATTTTGTTGACGTGTCTGTCCCGACTGCCTCGTAGAAATTGTAGAAGATTTTGCATGCCCATTTTTTCTAGTCGAATATTGCAAAGAATCTAACTGTGCCTTTTTCAATTCCGCATCCAATTCATGTTCACGCTGGTCTGCCTATAAAAATATGTAGCAAGAATAGCAAAAAAACAAAATTGTTAATATCATGAACTAGAGTTTTCTAGGTAAATAGAGTCGTCTCATT